GGACGTGACCGGGGAGAGGAGGCGGCAGGATCTCGGAGCCCAGGGAGGAGAGCAGGCTGGGCTGCGCGGCCTGCCGCTGCTGCGAGGGTGGCCGGAGCTGTGGCACGTTAATGTTTTGGATTTCAGACTCCAGATAGTCCAAAACGCCCTTGTTGGGGGACAGCTGAGCTTGGGGCTGCACCAGTGGAAGGCTGTTCTGCAGAGAGACATCTGAGGATAAAAGCAGAGGAAAACACAGCGAGTCAAGGGGAAACAATAAAGAGAGGGCCCTTTGCACTTGTGGTGCTGGCTGAGTCCCTCTGCAACCTCTCCTCTCTTGCTCCTCACTGCAAGAGCTGCACAAGTCTCAAGCACCACAACCTACACATCCAGGCCATGGAAGATGAAGTGCAGAGAGCAGTAACTAGTAAATTGCAGCATGATCTACATTTTGGGCAGCACACAGCATTGGTACCAAAATTTATTTTTAAAAATAATCAGAGAACATTCATAGTATTTCCTCATTGAACTGGAAGAAACATGAACTGATTCTGCAACAGAAAAATAAATTGATATATATATATGCATGCAAACACACACACGTGTATGTATAGATATAAGTAGCAAATGGAGAAGTTTCTTCTCTAGGAGCTGGTCCAGCTCTGGAACTGTTAACACAAAGAATTTATGTAATCTCCATCCTTGCAGGTTTCCAAGACTCATCTGGACAAAGCCACAGCCAGTGTGACTGAGGATGGTGACAGTCCTGCTTTGAGCAAGAGGTAGGACTAGACAGCCTTAGAGGTCTCTTCTATCTAACATCTCTCAAAAGCTGGGCTGAAACAAATTTAATGGAAACTTAAGCACAGGAGGACTGTAAAAACAAAGGCTAAGAAACTGCCTGAGGAACTTACTTGCCCATTTCTTGACAGCATGCACATGGATTTCCTTGATGAGACTCAGTGTATTCTGTCTTAAGTCATGGTGGCTTGTTCACTAGGTCTCCCTAAGGAAAACTAGTGCCCTGGCTAGGAAAAATGGTAACTATACAATTAACTAGAGGGCTAAAAAAGTATATACTCAAACATCTTGAATCTAGAATTTAAGATGTTTGCCAAGTATTTCTTCACAGAACAGTTAAGACTTAGCAGATGCAGACTATATCTGTGACTGCTGTATAGTAATAGTGATAAAAACTAATTTCAGATGAAAAATATGTTGGTTTTCTTTTTTTCAGAAGTCATGTTGAATTCCCCTGTTTTCCTTGGGTGATTAAATACTATTACTCACAATAACTTATTTTATTAGTTAGCTCTTTGGGACTTCACAGACTGTATCTTCCCTCCTCCATTAAAGTTACAAATAAACACCACTAACAGAAGCAGTTTTAGGGCAGAACAACTGGAAAGTCTTCCTGGTACATGAAAGAGTGCTTCATTTTCTCCTGCATACAGGCTAGATCTATTGCACAGAAGGCAGTTTGCCCTTCATCATTTAAAGACTAGACATTTGATAAGAAGTCAAACAAATTGCACCTCACTTGTCAGGTCAGTTTTGGCTGTGAGGAGTTGACCGTGACCAGCACAGCAGGACAAAGAGACAGCAGCCTCCTCTACCACATGAAGTGAGATAAGCTGGGTATATTTACCCTGCAGCTGCTGGAGTGTACCACAGATATACTTTAGGTAGCATTAAACTACTTCACCCAGCACTGAGCCTAGAAAGACGTTGGAGAGGGACAGGCTGTATTTATCCCCCCAGGCAAGCTGCAGACATAGCAGAGCTGTCATGCTACAACACCCAGTCATGCCAGGAACATCCTTCTCTCTGTTGTAGCAGTTGCTGAACCTCCCTGCAAAGCTACCCATTTCTCATCCTGATTTCCCTCTGAAGGGATGCCCGTGGTCTCACCTTGTTGCAGTAGAGGGTTCAGCTGGTAAGAGGAGAGTTGTGAGTTCCTGTCACTGCCCCTGTAGAACATGTTGTGTGACATCCAAGGTGCCAGTGCCTGGGCCTGCTTCATGAACCGATGTCGCTCCAGTGCTGTAAAAGAAGAAAGCCTTCAGCAGCTGTCCAGAGAGCACAGACCATTTTGCTTGAGATGTGATCAGATATCAGAAATTCACAGAACTAAAAGCTCTCTCCACCCTCTGACAAAGGGAAAACAGCACGAGAAATTCCAATACCAAGCTGTACAGATTCAAAACAATACCCAAAACAAAAGGGTTATGCCTGACTTGAGGGTACTCTTCCAGCAACTGGGGACAAAGGGTACTATGATTAAGTACACAGCCCATAACCAAATGCAGGTCTTCAAACTGCCCTGTCATTATGGGCAGGGGGACTAGTTGTAGCACAGCTACAGTTGTGGGAGGGTGGGAAATAATGCTTCATACAGCAAGATACAGGACACTGTTTTCTCTCTCTTAAAAACATGTTCAGGTCATTATTGGTCTTTTCCCCTCTTGGCTTTGATTCTTTGATTCCAGCTTAAATGAGACCTTCTTTTGCCACCTTCATGTAGGTTCTGTCCAACTCATTTTCCACACCATACTCATCATTTCCTCTCTGTTCCACAAACAGGGCATGCAGAGATGCACTGTCCAGATTCTCCTTTTCTAGGCTTTCAACCACTCTTGTTGTCTCTCTGTAATTTACCTCAGCATGACTGCTAAAATTAAATCCCTTAGGACAGTGTGGTCAAACTGGTGAACAAACTATATTTCCTATTCTCCACAGCCACATCCAGTGTGCTAAAAAAGCAAACCCAGTGGAAATTCATCTCCTTTTTTTTTTACCAGTGCTAACTCCAGACTCCTGAGGTCAGGCTCCAATTCCACTTCACTTTTTTTCAGTGCTTCCATCTTACCTTCTCTACACAGACAACCTCACCATCCCTGTCTTCAAAGCCATCACTCATTGCTGCTTCTTTTTTGGGAATACTTAAAGACATCTCACAGAAATGTACTCCTACCACAGACAATCATACAAGCCAGTAAATTCTGCAAGCCCCTGACCTTACAAATCCTGACATGATTTGTCTGTCATTATTGGGTGAAGCTTTTCTGCAACAGGGCCTTGGCAGAACATCTCTCCTGGCTCCTCTGGAGTCTCAGATGTGACAGGCTTTTACCACAGCTTCTGCTCTGGTCAGGCATGAACAGAACATTCCTAGCTATACAGTTGAGGAGACAGATAGGAATGTAATTGCCTTTGAGACTTTTACCTCTCTGATAAATCTGGCTGATGAAATTAAAATAAAGAGACAGGAGATAGACAGACAGGTTGACTGCATAAGCCTTGCTTAAGAAACCAGGCTACAGCTAAGCTCCAATTAATTCTGTCCCCTGAGATCATCTGCAGCAGGCAGCATTTAGACTGCACTCTCCTTGGGACTGAGCTCCCCATTTCAGGTAGCACTCCAGTTATTAAACATGTTCTCCTTTAGCTGTTTCACTGAATGGATACAGAGCACCATTTGCAGCAAAACAAGGACTGACCATGCCTCTAAACACATCCTTCCCTCTCCCCACAGTTCATGCAGCTCCACTTCTTTCTCCACTCCAAACTCCCTCCCACTCCCCAGCTTGACTCTAACCAGAGTGAACTACATAGCTGGAAACTTCAAGGCTTTTAATCCTAATACTCTGATTTTTCTTCAAAGCTCTGTGGCCTGAGGTAGCAGCTTTCAAGCACTTTATGTCAAACTTGGTTCATTTTTTTTCCCCCCCAAGGGATTTTCCTCCAGTTTAGTTTCAAACTTAGAGGAAGAGGAAAAAGAGGAAAATGAAAAAGAATAAAAAGAAAGGAGAAGCCTTATCTCTCAAATTATCACCTTGAGAATGCCCTAGAACCTGCTGCATGCACATCACTGGGTTTTGACCACAGCCTTTTGGGTGGCTCTACAGGGGGACCTGGACAGGCTGGATTGATGGGCTGAGGCCAAGGGGATGAGGTTCAACAAGGGCAAGTACTGGGTCCTCCACTTGGGTCACAACAACCCCAGGCAACCCTACAGGCTTGGGGAAGAGTGGCTGGAAAGCTGTCTGGCAGAAAAGGACCTGTGGATGTTGGTGGACAGCCAGCTGAACATGAGCCAGCAGTGTGGCCAGGTAGCCATGAAGGCCAATGGCATCCTGGCTTTTATCAGAAATAATGTGGTCAGCAGGAGTAGGGAAGTGATTGTCCCCCTGTACTCAGCACTGGTGAGGCCACAGCTTGAGTACTGGGTTCAGTTTTGGGCACCTCATTACAAAAAAGACATTGAGGTTCTGGAGCATGTCCAAAGAAGGGCCCAGAGAACAAGTCTTATGGAGAAGAGCTGAGGGAACTGGGGTTGCTTAGCCTGGAGAGCAGGAGGCTGAGGGGAGACCTTATTGCCCACTACAACCACCTGAAAGGAGGTCAGGGTCAGTCTGTTCTCCCAAATAATAAGAGATAGGACAAGAGGAAATGGCCTCAGGTTGCACCAAGGGAGGTTTAGGTTGAATATTAGAAAAAAACATCTTCACCAAATGGGTTATCAAGCATCAGAACAGGCTTCCCAGGGAGCTGGTGGTGTCATCACCATCCCTAGAGGTATTTAAAAGATGTGTAGATGAGGTGCTTAGGGCCATGGCTTAGTGGTAGTGTCAGTGGTTGGATTCAATGATCTTAAAGGTCTTTTCCAACCAAAATGATGCTGTGATCCTCTCTTCTTTTCCTTCCAGTTTGAACCCAATATAAACTCTGATTCCCCACCTGGAAAATCAAAGTTACTTGTCTTAAAGTAAACAAACTTGGCAGATTCTGCTTTGGCAGAATGTTGTCTCATTCCCTCCACTTACTGAGAAAAGTTTTTCTTCACCTTTGACAGACTTTACAACTGCAACCTAGTCAGACCCAGGTGCAAGTATATCCTATTTTACACCAATTCATTAGTGGAAGAAATCCACAGCAGAAAAGAAACTAGTAAGAACAGGAGGTCATAAGTATATTTACCAAATTACTCAAACAATGCACTTCTTTTATTACCAGGATCAAAATCATGTTAGTCAATGACCTGACTTACAACACCCAGAATTACCTGGCCTCAGTGGCATGTCTGTTCAGCAGATCTAGGCTACCCTCTAGTGGCAAATATTTGGGAAGAAATCACCCCTACTCTGCTCACACTAACTCTTGTTACAAGGATTTTGTAAAGTGGATGGAGAGGCAGAGCAGCTGGCATGGAAATTACAGCCACAGAATCCAGCAGGCAGTCAAGGCTTGCCTCTACCTTCTCTCATGAGCAGGGAGAGGTTTTGGGAACCCTGCAAGAATCCTTCCTACCTATCCTTATCAGGAGGCAGCAAACACAACAGCAGCAGCCTGGAGGGTTCTGTCATCTCCTACAGCACAGAAAACAAAAAAGGAGCTCACAGATACTTTGAATCCCTTTTTTTAATGGAGAAGTAGGAAGTCTGGTGGTGTGAGTCTTTCATTTCCATCACCTCTGCCTCCCTCCATGGAAACTATTTTTTTGCCAAACTTCCTCAACATGACACTTTGACAGCCTGTAAAGCCCTCCAAAAGTGTTTTGTTTTTAGCAATAAGAGGGATGTTCTGTTCACTCTTTGCAAAGGTTAAGCAAATTAAGCATAAATCTAAAACTCTCACAACTTAGTAACAGCCAAGGGATACCAAGTGGCTCTTTTCCAGTTAAGGGGAAACCAGAAACACAGCTCCCTGTTCATAAACCACTTCCTTGTAGCATCTGGGGAAGAATCTGGTGTTTCAGTGCTAAATAAATACATTGGTTGCATTTTGTTGCTATCAGACTGTGTAAGCTGCAGGGGAGCTAGTCCACCTTGTGTTGCCACTACGTTTCAGTGACAGAGGTTATATGGCCTCAGCAGCCAAAATTAAATGCTGGCCTTATTAAGAGAACAGGGTCTGACTGCACAATCTTCATTACTGCTAAAGCTGACACACAACAAAGTTTCTCTTGACCCTCAAAACCCCAGAATGTATTTGCATGGCTGACCACCAGAAAGACCATCTTTCTCCTCACTTCCTTCCACAAAGAAAAAAGAAACAAAACCTTTTTCTTGTGGAAGGAGCAGCTCTGAAAATAGCATGAAGATAGAGAATTCCAGTTTTTACATCATTACCTCTCAGAGCAACACACCTGAAGGTTAGACCAGTTCAGAGAGCAGTACCAAGGCATTTGCTTGCCTTCCTCACATGCACAGGCATATGAACCACAAGACAGGGGAGAAAAGTCCTGAGCTACCCACACAAGGGAGCTGATTGTGCTCGAGATGATATGAAAGAAGTTGATAGCATGGTGTGAGTGAGCAGGAACCTCTGAAAGCAGGAACAAGATGGGATTCGTGCACCCTAGCTCCCCTCCTCTAAACCCAGATAAGCTGGTTGTAGAGGTCACATTGGCCAAAAAATGCCTCAGTCTGTATGGGCACTGAGCTGGAGGGAGGAAAGTGGAGCTCAGCAAGCTCCCAGTAAAGCTGCTGTCATGACAGAAGCCAAGAGTGGATGTGTGTTTGCTTGGACCTCACCTTCCTCATTGCAGCAGCACCGGGTCGGGCAGCAGACACATGGGACGTGGCAGCAGCAGTACTGGGGGCAGCACTGGCACCAGCATATTCCAATAAACAGGAGAAGCAGGAGGCCACCAAAAATGATGAGGAGTACTGTGAGCCAGTCTAGGGGAAAAAAAAAGAGAAAGAGGATCCCGAGGTACCCAGACATAGTGACTGAGCACATCTCTCCACTGCTGGAGGCATCTTGGGGTAGGGAGGAAGACAACAGGAGGAGACATCTGCCACCCAGACAACAATCCACAGGCACTTACGGAGAACAATCAGCTTCACTTCTTTGTCTGCATCACCTGAGGTGTCTCCTGGTGCTTCCACTGTGCAGTAGTACACGCCGTGGTCCCACCACATGACCTCACTGATGACAAGGTCTGCCCCTGTGGGAGAGGCACTGAGGGGTCAGTGGGCTATTTGGGACTGACAGATGCTACTTTCAGGCCCCACTCTAAGAGGGCCCTCTGCAGTATGTACAGTACTGCATCTCCCCTCTTCCAAGTGGAGCCATCACCTTCAGACAATCCCCTTTGCATCCACTGAGAACTCCTATAAAAGCACTAACTGCCAGTCCCTTTTACTCTGTGTTGCTGGAAGGCAAAGCTGCTTAGAAGCAGGACTAGTTCTGTGTGCAGAGAAATAACCAGCGTGCTGCTGGGTGATGGATATTAACAGGTACTGGCTGCTGTCAGCTGCTCCACAAAGAGGTTTTGACAGATTCTGATTCTGTTTTAGCAGAGGACTTAGTGGTCTTGGCTTGATGGTTGGACTTGATGATCTTAAAGGTCTCTTCCAACCTAAAGGATTCTATGATTCTATAATCACTGCCTGTCACAATCTGGTACCCGAGGTGCACCGGGTCAGGCTCTGTCAGGCCAGCCAGCCCAATAATCCTGCTGGCAGGAGCCACAGCTATTGCTCCAGGGACAGCAGGAAGCATATAATACACCTGGACAATTTTGCTGTACTTCTTAGAAGAAAAAAAACCCTGTTTTTTAGCCTCTGGGCTCCTCAGCAAAACGCTGAGACACCCTCAGCTCAGCCTCAGCTTGTAGCGCCTCAGACACCCCGAGGCCAGCTGGGGCCAGGGCCCTTCCTCACAGAACACACCAGCTACAGATGACACTGGCCACGTTTATGCCTCCCACCCCACCGTGGGCCATGGTTAACGAGGGCAGGACACTCACTGTTCTGGATGGTGATCTTCCTCTGCTGGTAGTCGATGCCCAGCACGGGCTCCTTCTGCCCGTACTTCTGGATGACGATGCGCACGCTCCGCTGCCTGTCGTTGCAGTCGTTGGACGGGTCCTGCCCGAGGGCCAGCGCCGCCTGGTAGGCTACAAAAACACATCAGTGAGCAAAGAGGATGAAAGTGATTTCAAAAGACTTGATTTCTTTTCCCTTGTGGGCAGCAGAGAAACTCCTGAACGCGCGCGCGCGCGGTTGGTCTGGTTTAGGAACACAAGGCTTCGAACCAGCAAGGACAAGTTGGAGTATTCAAAAGAAAACAGATGTAGACCCACTGGAGTGGCAGAGATTTTGAGAGTTCAGGAGCTGCAGAGGAGATGCCTTCTTTATTCACAGCTGAAAGAACAACAGCAGAAAGAAGCTAATGATGGTAGGCTGGAGGGCAGCTCCCAGGATGAAATGCAAGGAAAAAAAGGTTATAAAATTCTCAGGACTACAAAAGTGTTTACCAAACAAAATCTCCAGATGTACATGAACTGCTGTAGGGATTGTCTCCCCTCCTCTCTTGTATCCTATTAGATATTGTGAAGATCATAAAGACAGAAAAGATTCCATCATCTGATTCCAGCTAAGGCTCTTAGGACAGACTCACAGTGTAAAAGAACATTGAATTGCCAAGTGTTTGGGAGTTGAGGTTTGGGGAGAACAGCTGATACAGTCAGCACTGTCTGTAAAGGGTCTGCAGTGAAGAGTGGAGAGGAGAAAACTTGTCAAAGGCCCCTCCATTGCTGTATCTACAATGGATCTTCAAGAGCAGACATCTGATTCCAGCTAAGGCTCTTAGGACAGACTCACAGTGTAAACTAACATTGAATTGCCAAGTGTTTGGGAGTTGAGGTTTGGGGAGAACAGCTGATACAGTCAGCACTGTCTGTAAAGGGTTTGCAGTGAAGAGTGGAGAAAACTTGTCAAAGGCCCCTCTATTGCTGTATCTACAATGGATCTTGAAGAGCAGACCCAGCTATGACCATGGCCTTCATGCTTTCTGTCCCTGTTTGGGGCTGCTAGCTTGAGCCTGTCCTCAAAGCACTCACATTGTGATGGGATCAGCAGAGCCAGGGACCCACTTGTGGACTAGGCTGTAGAGCACTTGGTAGCATGCCCACCCAACCCATCTAGGCTGCATACAGGAGAGTTTTGGCACCAAGACACCCAACAAGTCCAGGCTCCCCTCTCTGAGCTCAGTCTTAAGTGTGCAGTTAAGCCACAGTTGTCCAGCTTAAACATGCTGCAGGGTTTACAGAGAATGGAGTAGTTCAGTTGGAAAGGACCAGCAATGATCATCTACCCCAACTGCCTGACCAAGTTACAGCATGCTGTTAATGGCATTGTCCAAGTGCCTTTTAAACACTAACAGGCTTGGGGTCATTGACCACCTCTACAGGAAGCCAGTTCCACTGTTTTTTCCAGTGACCACCCTCTCGTTAAAGAAATGCTTCCTAATGTCCAGCCTAAACCTCCCCTGGCACAGCTTTGAACCATTCCTATGCATCCCACCACTGGATACCATGGAGAAGAGATCAGCAGCTCCCTCTCCACTTCCTCTCCCCAGGGAGCTGTAGAGAGCAATGAGGTTGCCCCTCACCCTCCTTTTCTCCAAACTAGACAAGCCCAAAGTCCTCAGCTGCTCCTCACAGGACATTCCTTCTAACCTTTCCAGCAGCTTTGCTGCAATCCTCTGGACACATTTGAGGACCTTCACATCCTTCTTAAATTGTGGGGTCCAGAAGTGTACACAATAGCCAAGGTGAGGCCTCATCAATGCTAGATATAGTGGGGTGATCCCCTCTTTTGACCAGCTGACCACACCATGTTGCAGGGCCTTCAAACATGCTAAAGTGTAAGATGGGGCTCTCAAGACTGACGTGTCAAACATGGCTGAGCCTCTCTGCCTTCAGAATTGATGACAAGGAGGACAAATGAGCTGCTTTGGCTGGGATTTCTACAACATCATACCATAAAGCCTTGGCACTGCAAAGGAAACCACAGACATGACCTATTTTTTTCTTAGAGCAGGGAAATAGAGGTCAAAACCAGTAAATCTACCTTCCCCTTCCCTTCCATTTCAAGAGGGATTCCTTGAAGGAGAATCCTGACACTCACAGACTGAGTAGTAGTCAAAGATGGGGTCCTTGCAGAAGGATTTGAAGCGCCAGGTCACCACCACATCCTGCAGCTGAGCTGAGGTGCTGTAGTCACACTTGAGGATGACGGTGGCGAACAAGGTGGTGTAACGCTCAGCGTCTTGCACGGTCACCAGCAGGGAGAGGCAACCTGCAGACAAGAACCCACAACACAGTCAGCCCCCAGGAACAGACCTCACATCACAGCTTTCACCCTGAAAGCACATCTCCCTTGGCCTCATCTGGGACCTGCACCCGTGGACCTCACCAGGCCCTCTGGTGAAGCCAGAGTTACAAAACATGGAGTCCCATCTTCCCCTGACAGAAGGCAGCTTGAGCCAGCTGCATTGCTCTGCCTTATGGACCAAATTATTCTATCTAAAGCAACTATCAGCAGCCATTATGTAGCACATCACTCTGTTCTCCTTCTGCAGAGGGAAAACTGCCCCTCCAAGCTGAGGGAGATAACCTGCTGGGCTGTAGTTTCATAGGCAATCTGTTCACTGCCACAGCAGAACAGCACCCTTCAATGACCCTTTTTTCCCTGTTTAATGAAGCTATTGTTACATATGTTTAGAACTCATCTGTAACAACCTCCACAGTGTTTTCTACCCAACCCACTGCACCCACTGAGGAAGGTTTTACAAAGTTTCTCCCAAGCTAGGCTTTATTTTAGCCACGCTCCAGAAGACATCTCTATCTTATTTAAACTTTGATAATACAGCAAGTTGTGCTTGTCATGAACAATAGTGAAGTTATCACCAGTCACCTTTGATAAGGGAATACAAACAGTACAGAAAAAGTGTGGGATGCCCTCTCTGGAACATACTTTAGAGAACAGGGCAGTGGCTGCAATCCTGTGGTAGCTGCTTCTCATCCAGGGACCACAAGGAGGGAAGGAAAGGGGAAGGCTTGGACAGTACCAACTGAAAGGGTCTCCATGAACCAACACCTGATTTTTCTTGATTTTTAGTTCCCTTTACTCCATATTTTTCAGGATGAGAGCAAGGAAACTGTGTGGCAACATCTGGATCACAACTGCAAGCATCCTTCTTTCAGTGTCCCCTTGGGCTACACCTCCACAGCACGTTCCAGGTGAATAGGAGCTCACCCAGTTCCCACCAGGTAAAAAACATGCTGCAGAGGTGCAATGCTGCCTCAGCAAGTCATTTGGCAGCAGGATGTTGCCAGTGCTTGCTCAGTTTCTGGTTTGAAACAGACCCCAAACTGGTCTTTTGGTCAGCCAACTCAAAGCACAGGCAGAGTGAACTCATTTGCCTTAAAAATACCACACAAACAGAGAGAGGACCAACATAAATTCCAAGTCTGAGGCTTTTCTGAAAAATAAAGTACAGACACACACACTTGATCACAGAAATATGTGCAAATCTCTCACAAAACCAAGGGTCTCTAGTTTTTGCAATGATGTAGCAGAGTGAGGTCCAGGCTGGTGACAGGTAGCTACACCTGCCTTTATTCAAGAGCACTGTACTTCAACACATCTTGTTTCAGCTTTCATTGTGGAACACCTGACCCACAGGATCTTACTGCTAAAAATTACAAGAAACCAGCCAAAAATCCAAACCACCAAGTCTGGCAAAACCTTTATCACATTGACAATCAAATGTATTCCCATGTGAATTCTGCCCTGCAAGGCTCATGGAAACAAAACAAATTTTCCACGAGTTTCCTACAGCAGCATCTCTCTGGAAAGAATAAAATACTCAAAATCACTACGTGCTCTCCACTCATGGAAACCAAAGCTCTTTATGAAAGGGATCCTTCATCATTACTTTTGTTCTGTGAAAGTGTTAGAGTTGAAAGAAAACTTCCTTGTTTTCTAAAGAGATTAAAAATCTGCTGTTCACACCAGAGGACAGTCGGGTGTCTCTGCATATCTGATGTTTCACACTAACCTCCTCCAAGAAAACTGAGGAGCTGTGAAAATACAGTTCCTAACTTGGACTACATTACTCCACTGTATGCTGCTACCCTTCTTACCTGGTTGGAAAGAACAAATCTGGACACTACCAACTCAGTAGGTTACAGCTACCTATGGCCTTCCTTCATGATGCCAACCTTCAGAGCCAGGGAGGCCAAGTTTTGGGCTAGAACACACAGGAACGTGGCTGCCAAGCAAGGCAATCAACAAGCATACCTCCTTATTTTTTTTCTTCTTTTACAGGTTCTCTGGGAAAAACTAACTTTGGTATTTAAAGCTAAACCACCAGCAAGCCCCTGGGGCATCCAAGAAACAGAATGATCGATGATATTTCCTACAGGAGGTCAGAAGCCGTCAGGAAACCTACAAAGCTCAGCCGGAAGGCCACGTGTGGACACGGAGGTGAGCCCCTGGTCTCCACGAGAGCAGGTATGGAAGCTCGGCAGCTACAGCAGGTGCCCAAAGAGCCCGGGGCAACAAAGGCTGGGGTGGGCGCTTGCGATAAGCCAAAGGG